AAGAAAAAAATTTTTATTATTTCATAATTTGACCTGATTCCTAGAACAAGGTCCCGGTAAGCTTCTTCAAGATGAAATATGTTTGATTTCAAAAATTGCACTAACTCCTAAAAAATTAATGTATTATTAACTAGATAATTTCAAAAGTTCTAAACAGTCTTTATTCTGTAGTTTATTTTCATCCAATTCAATTACTAAAATATTAAATCGGGGAAAATTAATTTCTGTAGACTTTGCAACATTGTCGTGCTGTGCGCTTTCTTTGTTCAACTAAGAGATAAATTTTCTGAATGACTCTTGAACAGAGACTTTTGAGTACTGAAATATGTTGCATAAATTTATTGTGCACTTGGAATACTTCTTTGACATAGTCCACATCCAAATTGTGTAAAGATAAAAATGTGAACTGACTGGGTTTTTCTACTCGTGACGCGATGTTTTTATGCAAATAAGTCTGACGAATAGAGCGAAGGTTTTCTTGTCAATGTTTCGCCTGTACGACTTTGGCCTTTCTCGTAGTTCAGCAACATTCAATACGCTCAGAACCGTAATCTTATTGACGCGTATTCACTGCTGTTTAGCCCAGAAGACGACTGTTGTCGCATGATAGAGAGATTTACAGTAAATGTCTTGCACTTTTCAATCATACTACTTTCGTGTCCAAAACATTAATGTCAGGAAACATAATCAAACGGTTAACTATGAAGCGACGAATCAGGATGATTTTTCGATGACACGTGATACAAAAAAGTGTCTGTAATTTTGTCTTTATTTTCCACAAGCGATATTTTTAAGACTGCAGGTCGTATTTTCATATTTTACAAAAGGTGCAATTTTGCTGATAAATTTTTCATATGCAATTTTCAGAAAATATGTTAAAGTAGATTTGCGATGTCAGCGTTTAGTCAAGTAGCTTGAAAATGTTTTCCTACGGTAATCGAGTTGATAGCAGCCGCGAAGCCGATCTGTTATGGAATCGCTGAACGAAGGTTCATGAGGTTCAGAGTTGTTGCAGCGTTTGCTTCGTCATATACTCTGACAAATTTGAAGCCGATCGAATGCGACAGTGCAGTGTTGGTCGTATCCCCGATGAATTACTTAACAACGAAGCTCTGAATGCCGCCATTGCAGTTGTATGTCTGTCTTGTGTTTGAGTTTCTGCCGTTAACGTTAATTGTTATCAGCTTCCATCGAACTATAATTTTGAGATCCACAAGACCGTATGGCAGGTACTCAACAGAAAGTGCAGAACAGGTAGGGTTTGTCGTTGTTCGGTACATGATCCTTAAATCTGTCATTGTCGTTTTCAGTCGGTCTTCAATTCCCCGAAGGACTGCTGCTGTATTCATGCATGATCGCCGATATAATCGAAAAGTTCACCGATGCCGAGACGATCATCTTTGCCGAAGTGACCTATGGGGCATGCTGCATCGATGACTTCACGGCTGGCGCAATGGGCTGCGACCTCCTGGTGCACTACGGGCACAGCTGCCTGATTCCCGTCCAGGAAACTTCCGAGGTCCCCGTTTTGTACGTTTTCGTCGAAATGCGCTTCGACACGGTGCATCTTATCGAGACGTTACGCAGTAACTTCAGCAACTACCCGCATCTCGCGCTCTGCAGCACCGTTCAGTTTATTAGTTCATTACAGGTATTACGTATTATCGTTTTATGGTACTGTTATGTTATGCATGTCGTTATCCTCGTCGTTTTTCAAAAATTATATTGGCATTTTTTGCAGTGTATGATTTGAACTAAAGGAAATTTATTCGCTTAATTGAGAGGAAATTATTATTATTATTCTTAGCAGCGGTATCAAAAACTAGCAGTTTGCTAACAAATCTATATCGGAATTTACTTTCTGTTGTATATATTCACGCATCGAGATATATCCGTTGGTATTCGAAACGGTTATTATTCGAGCGAAACAAATGGCGCTGTTTTTGACCCATGTGCTGCTAAAACACGATGGAATCATGACCTCCTTAAACGGCCTTATAGGCTACTAGAAACAATCGAAGCGGTGCTCATACGCCGAATAAATTCGAAGAAGTAGCAGGAAATTGTCATTCTTGCTGGCGTTATTGAAAATTGACAATCAGCAGGTAAGCCCATGAAGCCATATTCAATTTCTATTTATTATTTGATTAGGTAAGTAGGATTATGCCATCAGTTTACAGCATCATATCTATAGAATGCATATGACGTTTGTGAACAAAACGTCAGCGCCTGGAATGCATTGCTGCCAATGGTTGCTTTTCACAGTGATACGTTTTTTTTCTCCGGGTTCCTTTATGCCAGAACAGTCGTAATGAAAATAAATTATTTATTGTTGTACCATGTTTTTTTTATGTATTCTTTAAGTTGTCTCAACAGTAATTAATTTTCTCTAAACCGTCGGTTATTCCGTTGATATTGGTATTGCGAATGCGTTTCATTGAACTGTTTCGAACCATTGCTGATAAACAGGCTGTCGTTGCCTTCTTTCAAAATTCGGTGATTTTTTTTGATTTCAGCGAATATGCAAAAGTGGTGGCATTGCTATCAAACCAAGTTTGTAGCTTACCTGTTAATTTATTGATTAAATGTACAAGGGCTATTTATTGAAATTAATGTTTTTAAGAATAGAGTGATAACACCAAAGATCACAGTTTACTGGTTGTAATGTACTGTAGTTATGGCTGACATCCTGACTGCAGTTACTAAGGGAGTAACGAATAATGTTAATCATTTATAGGGTAGCAGTCCGACGATCGGATCTTCTGCACTGGAGGTACACCCAGTCAGCCATTTGGAGATTTGTCTACATGTGACGATGAGATGCGTCGAACCCAGATCGTTCAACTATTCTCCATTACCGAATTAGTTTTCAAACATTGCGCGACAAAAGTTATCACGACCAAAGTTTTCTCCAACAACTGATTGTTTCTTTTGTACATGCTCTTCGAAATTCAACAACAAACACTTAATCCGCTTTCACCACCAGCACGTTTTCATGGTCGGTTCATGGCATGACGACTTTTGTCAAGGTATGGAAAATCATGATTGTGACCACAGTTGCAACTACAAAACGTCATCCTCGTACATTCAGAAGATAGCGGTACGATACGTCGGTTTTTACAGCATACTTTGAGCTGGTGTAGTCTTCTTGACCTGAATAATTTCAGTTCAGTTTTTTGTCTTTTGGTAATAATCCTCCTGACATTGACTGTGACCATTTTTCCATCCTTCGGCCTCCAATTCATTCGCCTTATAATAGTTCGATGGTGACCTTGATTGTGGTCAGAATATAAGAACTGATGTTGCTACTATTAAGGTTCAGAAAGCTTGAACAATGGAGTTCTGTAGATTGTTTATGTCTGACCAGTTAGAAATTGCGTTTTAGATTTGTATTAGACGTTATTAATTTTCTTGATTTCAAAAACGTTCCTCCTTGCAGGTAGGACTACCTCGACAGGATATTTCATCGTATTTTGTTGAAGCTTCAGTTGTGGTCAGTTGTGCTTGGTGTCTGCTATGTCATGCAATTATAACTTTTCATACTTGCTTCGGAAAGTCATTCGGTTCTGAACTCGGCTCAGCCGGATGATGCATGCCTGCCTCCTCATGACACACATAAACAAGTTTTGCTATATGACAGCTAAGTCATAGCTGAGATGCTCATCGTTTTCCTAACGGCATGTACAGTCAACACTTAGGTTTCAAGAAAAATTATAAGGACAAAAAAATTTTGTTACTGTTGGAATATCAGTCCTTCTCAAACTTTCATGATGGGGTCATATTTGGCACAATTCGTTTCAAGAAGTAATAAACTGGAGCGCTGATCTCCGTTTCCGTGCAATCAGCTAGGAGTGTCTTATTTTGAAGTTAAAGGCAGCAGCAGCTCTGTGGCAAGTACACTATTTAGTCTTCTGTTTTTTTTCCACAATGATAAGTCGCGTGAATCGACTCTTGTTCGAATCTGAGATCTCCATGTCCTAGGTTTGGCGCTGTACCGACTAAGCATACCTGGCCTGTTGGTTTCATGTTCACTCGAATTAGGACCTCACGTGAAGGCCGTGACCGAAAGTCCCATTTTGAGTTATGGTTGGCGAATGATAATGCATTGTATGCAAGTAATATCCTATCCATCTCGTTAACTCCATCCGGAATGAAAACGGTTGCTGAATGATCATCGCAGTTTTCATCATTGGCAGGATCAACCATAGCATTATCGTCCTTATCACCGTGATTCGTATAATCGTGATCAGTATTATCATCATTCTTACCAGTATCATCTTTATGCAGTTTGGTTCAATGGAATTTAATTCGTGGGTCAGTAATACAGAACAAGTTGCTTAAATTATAAGTTAAACCATGGAATAATAAAACAGTATCGGCAAAGCGGCTCCAGAAACATTTGACAATATGAGAAGTGAGTTGGCGTCGAATAGATCGATAGTTACTTTCGAGATTCGATAAACATATCTCTTAATCTTTATAATCAACCTTGTCATCAGCAATTTTGTCATCGTGATCATGGTGATCAATCATTATCACGTCCACGTATTCAGTAGATGATTCTGGCGCTAATCAGTAGTGTCGTTTGATCACGGTATGGGAAAGAAACGCCCATGTTGCGTACGTGAATGGCAACAGAATGGTGCAGCAAGTCATTCGCGGCAAAATTCTTCGTCAGTGACTGCCTCTCCCCATCAGCTTCATCTTTTTAAATCGTAAAATGATATTTTTGAACAGTCGCCTGATATGAGTGCGGAGAATTTTTCACAGTTCTGAGTCTTCCGGATTCGTAGTCAATATTCTTTCCGTCACTAGATTTGCCTTAAGGGCATAATAATTTCTGTTAGTCCGTATAAGGGCATATTATTAAAAGCTTAAATCTATTAAGGGGCAGGTAATCGAAAGATATTTTTGATGTTTCTGTGCCCTTTTATGATATTCTGATTAATTATCCACCTCAAAAAATAATTTTAGCGTTAGTTTCATTGTGACTGTGCATTTACTGTGTTTTTGTCGCATAATGCAAGGGTTTTCCAGGCTGTGAAACAAGCATTGGCGTCTGCAGAACAGAAAATTACAATTCCTCAATGTCGACCACTCTCTGCGGGGGAGGTACTCGGATGTACTTCACCGAAATTGCCTGCTGACATTAGCGGAGTGGTGTGAGTAATAGCAGAGGCATTCATGAGAACGTCTGGTGCTAATTCCGTCTTTAATTGTCTAGATTCGTCGGCGACGGCCGGTTTCACATCGAATCAGTTATGATCGCCAATCCGACGTTTCCCATATTCAAGTAAGAAAATTTGTCCTTTATTTGTTTGATATTCTTTATATACTCGACATTCTTTAATAAGGTAAAAAATTAACTTATGGTGGTTTATTCACCTCAATAATGTTGGTTTTTTTAATTCGAAAGCCTTCGGCCTCAAATAAAGGTATCAGCTGCAATAACCGCCGTTTTGCGCTCAAAAATGAGACGCTGAGCGAAAGCAGGTACTGATTTGCTACCCAGATAGACCTTTATGCTGCAGTCTGTCCAATAAGCCTTGCACGGTTGTGTTTTTCGTAAATCATCGATGTTTCTGACCAAATATTCAATGTTTTAGGTACGATCCGTATTCAAAAGAGTGCACTCGAGAGTATTATGATAATGAACGAATGTTGGACGTTCGCAAAACCTCGATCAATCAAGCAGCTGCGTGTCAGACGTTTGGACTGATACTCGGCACCCTTGGTCGGCAAGGCAGCCCGGCCATTTTTGACGTGCGCAAGTTTCGGTTGTTACAGTGTTTTATTGAAATAGGCGTAAATATCCTGTTCGAATCATTGCTTCATCGTGTAATATCGCTGCTAGCGAAAGTCATTCATACGCTGTATTTTCCATTATTAATAATGTTGAATCGAGGTCGCAGTAACCTTCGTCCAGATCCAGTAAATTCCAATTTATAAAACTTCTTTGAGGTTTTCGGTATATTTCTTAAGCCGGTTAATGTGCATATTGATAAATAGGGATATTTATACAATGTTTTTCCTTTAAGCGTAATGCTATCCGTTTTGTGCTCCTCTGTTTTTCATTAAGATTAACGAGGGTTAGAGGTTAACCTTCATTGTCAGAGGTTAGCGAGTACTAATAATTGGGCTTTCTGAGAATAATTGCTGGATTCTCGCATCTCCGCATTATCAGGAGTAAAGATATTGCAGAGAGAGCCTTAGTAAATAACTGCGGCTACTCCAGACTAAGAAGTCACGAGTGCGATTGTTTCAGCATGTTTTGCGAATGCTTTCATAACGGAAGGCAAAGCAATTACTATTTGTTCAACCGATTGGCGGAAGACCCAGGGACGTCGTAGAATAACCTGAGGCAAGTATATAAAAGGACTCCATTCCAAACTCGGATTATCTTCTGCCAAAACTCTAACTCCACCATACGCGCGACACTCTCGGATACGCCTGCATTCGCTACCCAAAATGATACGCAGTCATCGGAACTGGCAAACACTCAGTTTTCAGTCTTTTCGACGTAAATCATGTCACAATCTCTGCACTCAACGTTGTACCACATAAACATGTTAAGAAACTATTCAAGGTTTGGTCTTTTGATAAAGGAGTTCATGCATATTTTAGGAATGAAGTATGGTATGTGGAATAGGTACTCCTCTGTGGTGATAAGTGAAAGCCGTGGTTCTCTCAGGAAATGCGTAATTAATTAATTAAATGGAGGAACTGAAACATCATTTAAATGTTAACTCAAGCGATTGGTATGATAAATAATTGAATAGCACTAAAAACACTTTGAATAATTGAACATAGCTTTAATTTTTCAGGGATAAAGGATAGTAGCAGTTCGCGTGCCCTGTGTTTCTATTTTGTGTGAAATTATTTGTAAATTTGCAAAAAATTGTGCAAAACGTGTTTGTCTTAATCTTTTGAGTATTTTTTTTGAAATTTTTGTTCATCTGCCTACCCAGTGAGCAGAAATTAAAATTTGTGTTTTGTGAAAATGACTGTTTTAGAAACTGAGGAAAACATTAATCGAACTCAGGAAAGAAGTTATGTGTTTTTTGTTCTCTGAAGTGACACTTGACAAACTGAAGAAATTTCCTTTCGTCGACTGGTAAAGACAATTATAAACTCTTTTTCGTTGAAAATTTGGGCAAGTTTCAAATTTAGCTGGATCCATGTTTCCTGTCCTCGTTTATCGATTGATTGGGGTGCGCAGTTTGAAAAGCCGCTGTTGAATCCTTACGAGGTACGGTTATTCGTTTTGGATTCTAACGTTTTGGCTCAATTTTCACGTGAAATTGTCATTTAGGCATCTGTTATGCTTGGTGTAATGGAATGGCAGTCAGTTTATCCCATGAACTATTATTCGGCCGATGGTCCGTGGAACAACAGGGCCGTGAATTCGCTAAGGGTGAAAGCAGCATCTCAGAAGCAACATGTTCGTGTAGAGTTTGAACGTCTCCCACCTCAGCAGGCTACAAATGATGCGACGCATTGAACGCTGAACTTGAAAAATCCATGTTAAGTTTTTCGTGTCGCCGTTTTCGGAGTCAAAGCTTTTGGCCGCATTGCATTTGTCCTACATTACTCGCAGGGAATTTTGCGGCTGCATATTAATGTGCCATTTGAAACACTGTAGAGTAAATGCGGCTTTGCGGTTAAGTAAAATGAATGATTTTTATGTAATATGAGCTGTTGCCATGGAGTGTGAGCTGTTATTGTTTCTTTATGGTTTGTTTTCGTGATGAACGGTACAAATACCACAATTAAAAGTTCTGACCTACATAAATTCAACAAAAGGAATTCACAGCAGGGCATAAATTTTGGATGTTTCCAACATGTGCCTTTTTTTAATACTAGAAGAATTGTTTATTACGGCCGATTTTGAAAAATGGCTGACATTTTCGAAAAAAAATCTTTATCTTTAAGGAATTAACGCATGCCTGTTTTAATTCGTGATGCATTAAAACTTCAGAGTTTAATTAAGGGACATTGGTTATTGATTTCTTGTTCTGCTAGTCATTAGGTTTTTAATTATCAACCCGAAATATCGGTGTTTATCATTCATATTATTCGATGTCTATACGATAATGTTCTAACAGAAAAATCCGCTGCAGCGTCAGCCTGTGTTCGTAACGCTGTTACAAACGAGGGCAGATCAGATTAAACAAAAGCGAATTTTATTTCTTTGTTAGTTTCCTTTTCTCTTGACTTCAACTTCCGATCTACCGACGTTCAGCATATACAGTAGTCGTTGTTTACACCATTTTCCTCCGC